AAATGCACGGAAGATGCCGATGGGAAAAGAGAAGAGAGAAGAGAAGATCAGAGCAGAGAAGAGCAGAGAAGAGCAGAGCAGAGCAGAGCAGAGCAGAGCAGATCAGATCAGAGCAGAGCAGAGCAGAACAGAGCAAAGGAGAGAAGTAGAGAGAAAAGGAGGGGAGAGGAGGGAAGAGGGGGAGGGGAGGAGAGGAGAGAAGAGAAGAGAAATTGTTCATCTTTCCTCTTCACCCCTCTTCTCTTTTTCCTTCGTCATTATGACGAGCAAAAGCAAATCTTTCGGTAGGAATAATTTGCCAGATCGAGGAAGAAAAATAAAAAATACATTTATCAAAGCATCTCATATCTTTGGCGAATGTTTCCGTGGCACGGAACAAATAGGAAATTCGAAATTGTTACGTAAGATTTACGAAGAACAATGAAATCATTGACTTGAGTTATCTTCACGATAATGAGAGAATTACACGATGTTTACATGTAAACTTAAGCACAGACTTTTCGTTATTGCGTATGCACACATGCGGAAACGTCGATTCGTTAATTGACATTGACGTTATTCTTGTAAAATATATAGGTATTATAAAAAAAAAAAAAGAAAGAAAGAAAAAACAAATCGAGTATGATAATTCGTTTCCTTTTTTAATTATATATCATGATGAATTAAAGTCATATCAGAATTATTCTTTATCCGAGAATACGCCCGGTGAAAAATAAATTTAGATCAAATTCAACTTTGTTACGTGTTTCTATAATTGATCGAGAACACATATACATTGATAACTCATGTTTACATTTCTACGATCGCGAAACCACTTTTTGGTTTTGTTAGACAAATTAAAAAAAAAAAAAAAAAAAAATAAATAAATACCTTAAGAAAATGATGTCAATTATAAAGGAAAAGATCGAAGATAACATATTAAACCGGTACACTAACTTATAGAGCTTAACGAACACGTTCGTTCCACGTGATATGGCGAAGCGTATAAGTGCTCACGTGCTTGCGATCCCTCTTGGCGTATGTATGTACAAACGTACAATATAAATGATGCGAAAATGTAGAAGCGAGATAGGTAAAACGAGTTAGAGTGTCTGTGTCGTGTGTGCGGTGCAAATTTTCGCGCATTTATTCCCAGAGTAAGATAAATCTCAAGTTTGATTTTTATGAAGAAAAAGAAAAAAAAAGGAAGAAAAAAAATAAAAAAGAAAGAAAAGAAAAGAAAAAAAGGAAAAAGAAATGTCTTATCTAATTTTACAAAATGCATTTGTTTAAATTAATAATCTTTAAAAGTATCGAATCTAAATAGTACTTTGCTTTCACCGAGAAGAAAGACGATCCATAAAAGAAATAAAATATGGAAGAAAAAAAGGCGAAACAGCAACAGGTAGTCGTGTACGCTTTCCCAAAAACCACTCGATTGCAAACTTGCTAAAGTAATTACGGAAGGACGATCTTAACTGTTCTGTTCGTTTCGTTTCTTTTATCCATACATACGATCATTGAAATTACATATAATTGCGTGCACGAAAAAAATATATGTACCGTATGAAGATACAATATAGGTATATCAACTTATATGGAATATGCATATATAATAAATACGTACATGCATATATATATATATATATATATATATATATATATATATATATCTTAGGTTCGAAGGAAGCATGAATCATACTTGCTTCTCCTCCACTAAAATCAACTCATTGTATGTAAGTTCAGCGAGCTGCAAGACGAAATGATACGAAGAGAAAGTTTCGATCGTTCGCTACGATACACATTATCATTAATGCGATAACCATCATTCTTTCTGGTAATTGCTAATTATATTAGCTTTCCTCTCTCTCTCTCTCTCTCTCTCTCTCTCTCTCACTTGCTCTCTCTCTCATTTTCTCTCCCATTTTCTCTCATTCTCCACCTTTCTTTCTTTCGCTCTAACCAACACGTTAATCGTTCGCTACAAATTTATAATTCGCTTCTAATTATCTCAAGTATCCGTGATACAACTTTTCTTTCTATGTATCGGTAAAGTAGATATCTATTATTTTTGAAACAAGTACGATATTATATGGCGTTTTAATGGATTTATTATAATCAATACAGTGATCGAAAAGATATTATAAATTACTTTCTCCTTTCTTGCATGAAACCAGTTTCGTTTTGCGATGGAAATTATAGAAATAATCAAGTTTCATAAAAAACGTATTATATATGTATATATGTATATATATACATATATAATATATACATATATATATATACATATATATATACATATATACAATATGTATGTATATATATATATATATATATATATATATATATATATATATATACACGATCGTATTATCAACAATTTCAATCGTATGTATATATATATACATATATATATATATATATATATATATATATACGATTGAAATTGTTTCTATAACTAATTACTATGTAGGTTGCATTTATGGTAAGAGAAAAATTTTATTGTCTTATCACGAATATCTCTCAAACATTTCTGTCGATTATATGCTTTCGAGGACAATGGCACAGGAAAGAGGATGACAAAGTCAAATTAATATACATACATCGGCGTGCATAGAGGAGAGGAGAGCTCGTCGCTTTTGGACGAACAATTCCTCATTGTATTATCTTGGCTTATACGAATAGATACGTACTACCTTCATAATGTCTCTGTAATCATACAATGAGGATCCGCCATTGTCATTTTAATCTGACAAATCGATCGAGACCTCTCGATTTGTGTTCGACATTAAAATAAACGCGAAGAGATTGACGAATACACGAGTTCTTTTTCTCCACTCTCCTCCCCCACTCTCCTCTGCCTCATTCCAAAATAAGAGAAAAATAAAAAAGAGAAAGAAAGAGAAAAGCGAACAAAGAGAAAAATGTATTAATCGTTTTTCAAATTGGCAAATTACATTGGCATACGTTCCATGAAAACGTTTAATCCTTGATAATGTAATTACATGTCGATTAAAGCTCCCTATCGAAAGGATTTATATTCTCCTTCCTATCTTAGTTCTAACCGCAATGGAACACAATGACAGACATTTTCACGGCTTCCATTAGTAATTTAATCATTCGAGATGCGTCAAGAGAGCTCTTCCAAGCTGACTTAGGATTAAACGGATTTAAAGCTGCCAAGGCACACACACACACACACACACACACACACACACACACACACGTGCGCGTCTATGTGTGTATGTCTTTTATCGAATACTGTAAAGACGGTGAGGACGAATAAAAAAATAAAAAAAAGAGTACGGAATGTGTCTAGAATTATAGAATATTTTTGGCTCAATCGATGATTACGAGAATGAGAACTCATTGAAACCAGATTAGGTCGGTAGGCAATTGATATTATCGTTAAAGCTACAATATGTTACGAGAGAATTCATATGGTCAAACATGCGGTCGTGAACGGCTGCATAGAAGATAACACAAGGAGTAGTAGTAAGCTGGCTTCATACCCGAGGTTATTATTTTACGTAACAAACTACACAAGTAGATATATTTCGAGCACTTTGTACTATCTATTATCACCACATTTTCGATTTTATAAATCGTGAAACGTAGTTTGTCCAAGTGCTTCCGTATAAATCTCGGGTTATCGAGTTTAATCGACTTCTCGTTTCAAACTGTTTCTTTTTGAAAACAAAAGGAGAAACTGCTAAGTGATAATAATATAATAATAATAATCATACTACTTTGTAATATTCTTCAAGAAAAACGTTTGATATTTCCAGAAAAGAAAAAGAGAGAGAGAGAGAGAGAGAGAGAGAGAGAGAGAGAGAAATAAATTTGGATCAATCGATTTGTAATTTGAAGTTAAAATGATCGAAGTACTCAAAAATGCGATAAAATAAGCTTGTATAGTTAAAAAAATCTGTGAAAGCGTACATTCAATCGTAGTGCCGTATTAGACGAGAGTACAAACAAGCAGATAAACGAATCGTCGAAGCGTTGACCTAATTACAGCTTCTCGGTAGACCAACGTAGTGGGAGGCAATGGCGCAGCAAAAGCTTTAGCTCTACTTCATTGCAAAGGCACAAAGGAAGCTAACATATGTATCCTGCCTTCTCTGTTTCCTCTCGCGTTTTCTAACCACGTGATACCTCCCTGTCAAATGTGCGTGCTATGTGCAATAAGATAGGTCTTTTTTGTTATTTTAATTCGAACGGAAGCCGTAGCTACATTTAGGAAGATAGCATCGATCTTTTTATTTATTTACAGTGTTGTCGAACGCACCCAAGCGTTTAATTACTTCTAACTTTGAGATTGTATAGTTGTTTAAAAGGAAAGAGAGGGAGAAGAGTGAAAAAGAAGAAAAAGATATTATTTATTGGGGTTACATGGTTTACGGATTCTCAACATAGAAAATTTCTATATTTGATCTTGATAATTTAAACGCATTAATGAGATTTACTATGACTATGGATATTAATTATTTTTACGATTTACGGTATGATTAATATATCTTTCATGTTCACGATAGTCTCGTAAAGATGAAATCTCGTCACGGTATATAAGTTCAATTGTATCGTCCAAAATATGCTAATTTCGTAATTTTTCGTGATTTTATTTACTTTTTTAATCCAATAACATGTAATTTTATTTAACATATATAGATTCCCTGTATATCTCTTATACGAGTCTTGAGATAGGCTAACTGTGCACATATACGAACAATCTACTTACATGCGAAACAAAATCGCCGCTTCGTTTCCCCGGACAATGAGTGTCAATTAAATAACCTCTCATTATTGAGTTTATGCAATGTATCGTAGAAGGTGGAACGAGTGAATTAAATCTATATGTAATGTGTAACCGATAGGAACGTACACGCATATTCTAATGAAATATATCCATATTTCGTTTCGTTCAAAAATCAATTCAAACTTAAACATTTTTATATGAAATATTATTTTAACGACTTTAAGTATCAAATATTGCATTAATTGGCTATAAAGTTATATAAGTACAAATAATAATTAGTAATAATTAAATAGTTTCGAATAATCAATGAAATGTTTCATCATCGATGTTCAAATAAAAGAAAAAACCAAAAATAGAAAAAAAAAAAAAACAGAAAACGCTCAATTATGAATCGTTCGTTTGAACAGATCGAAAGAGCAACTTAATGAATATTAATAACATGGAAGAACGGCAGCTTTATTCAAGGGACGATTAAGAGATAAGCGCTGGAAAAAGTGTTGAAACGATGATCGTAGCTCGTTTATCGCTCGAATCGTCGTCATCGGCCTTCGGTGCATTAAGAAAAGATAACGAAATATCGGGAAAGGCGCTTGCTTTCGAAGGAGAACCTCTTGACATAACTTGACACCACCGCGGCAGCAGCTGCAAGAATTCACGCGGATGCAAAAGATAACCACGTGCATTTTGAACAATACGCTAATCGTTCCATCATTATCACATTGTTTCCGTTTAATAGATCATTTATATATAGGTACACGTATATATATGTGTATATATATATACATACATACATACATACATACATACATACATACATACATACATACATACATAAATACATACATACATACATACATACATACATACATACATACATACATACATACATACATACATACATACATACATACATACATACATACATACATACATACATACATACATACATACATACATACATACATACATACATACATACATACATACATACATACATACATACATACATACATACATACATACATACATACATACATACATACATACATACATACATACATACATACATACATACATATATACATATATATATATACATATATATATCATACATGCACTTCATATATATAGTTATATATATGCTTTATAGATATAAGTATATATATAACTATATATGTATATGTATATATTCTATATATATAAGTATATATATACTTTGTATATATATATATGGACATATGTATATATATGTATCTATATATACAAAGTACATATATATTTTGTATATGTACATATGTACATATATATATAAATACAAATGCACATGCAAAATGTCCCAACGAAAAGTATCCACGAGGATTATTATGAGATCTAATGATTTTTTTAAAAAACGCCGAGACAAATATTAAAAAAAAAAAAATCACTAGATTTCATAATAACCTTATAAGTACTTCGTTAGAACATATATATATATATATATATATTTATTTATTTATTTAGTTATTTATTTAGATATTTATTATTTATTATTGCAAATAAAGAGACAGCGCCTCTTAACGTGCCATTCGCGTATCACTTACTCGTTAACGAAAAATCGATCGAGCCTTTCTCGAGAACTCTCTCGCGTGCATTTCTATGTTTCTACGTTCGGTATGCGAACGATAAGTCGATTGTTATTTTGAACGTGTTCTACGGTTTACCATCGACACATAGGCTCACGTATGTGGGTACTTGTAATGCGTGACATCATCTCGAAATACGTGCAGAGAGGAGTTTGACGAGCGAGCGAACGAAGCGAAGGCTCTGCACTTGCAATAACAACGACGAGAACCGCCCAAGGTCTGGCATAAAAATCAAGCGCCATAGAAGCATAAAACTCGCCGTAATTGACGCCGCCGACGAGTCTTCTCGATGTTTTACGCTTCGACTATTTGAAGATTTACATCATAGAAAAAAAAAAAAAAAAAAAAAAAAGAAAAGACAAAAAATAGAGAAGAAAACAATATCGAAATATCAACAAAACGATAAACGACACATAATGTCTTATCGTACTGCAGTTTTCGAACTAAATAGATAAACTGGGTCCTCATCTTTCAATGGAAAACGTAAATACGTAAAGAAGAATCGTAACAAACCACTGACAATGGTTAAAACGAATGGGAAAGAAGATCGTGTTATATATTTATATCGGTTATATATTTATATCGCATCTTTTTATCATCATCTACGATTGCTCGATGAAACAGCCAAGCAACGGTCTATACTTATCTATTCTTCGCATTTGGATCAAACCATTCTCTCATATTTTACTGTAGGATTTTGTTGAGATTTCATTCGTATTAATCTTTACGTTTGAGAAATGTTACGTCGTAAAAATGCATGACGCCATTGCATCTTTACAAGAATGTTTGTAATAAAGTGTGATATCAAAAACCCCCTGTTGGTGAAATGAATCGAATCTGAGATGTTTTATTTGAAAATAGAGGAAGAAAGGAATTTGGCATATAGTCGAATATATAGAATTATGTATATAGTAGAATACGTCTGTTCTATTTTCGATCTGAAACGCAATAGCAAGCTCGATAGCAATTCGTCTAGAACCAAACATTGTTTGTGTTTACGAAAATCGAAAGATCTATAAGTCATTTAACATTTATCGATTGAAACGAGCTAAATGATATTAATATCTACTTCGTCATCGACACAACGAGCATCATTGATTTACTTCGATGGATTTTTTTTTTTTTTTTTTTTTAGAATTA